ATGGGGATACATTTTGCACAATTTCGTTTAGTCTGATAATAAAGATAATAATAATAAAGAGCTTTCTGAAAACAAGGATGTTTGGATGTGCTTTTGTAAAACAGAATGTACTGTTTACTATTTCTTGTCCTTTAGAGTAGATGAAGCCATGGAGAACTGTTTTCACTCAGCCTTTGGTGTATCTGTGCCGCCGAGTCCTGATCATGTAGGATCCTGACAGCCGCGTGTCTGCTAGAGCTCCAAAGCAGATTAATAAACACACTCAGCAGGCAAAAGAGCTGCTGAGATGGCACCGACTTCAACACTGAAGATAAATCACCACGGCTAGAGGCTCAGAGTTCAGCTATTTTTGCACGGTAGAAAGCAGCTTCACGTACAGCATAGGTAAGAGAGAACTGAGTCAGTAAAGAAACACAACTTTGTGACTCTAGCAGTGTTTCTCTTTAAAGTAATAAAGGTAAGCAAATGCATATTATGATGGAAGACAGTAGGTTTTTAACAGAGAGACATTGCTTGAATTTTGGGGTTAAAACATGCCTGTATAATCTTACACTATCTTCCAAGCAATCCCTTCTTTGTCAGGGCAAAAGGTTCTGTTCTCGCCCCTTTATGTTTTTTTTATTTCTTTTCTCCCTAATGGCCACATAGAGGCCTCATCATCAACTGTTAGAATAACCTGCACTAAATTGCATGTAAATTGTAGTTTTTGTATAAGCAATAAATGGGTGTGTTGTGGTGATCTACAAACTTTTGCTGCACAACTGGCAAGACATGCAGACCGATCAGTTTCACTGATTAAAATGAACAGATAGAATGTTCTACAGGCAGTTAAAGACTGGCTTTAAAAGAAGGATGAGGTTCAAAGTCATGGAGATGGAAGCATTAATGATAACTATACAAATAATAATAATGACAATATTAATAATATTTATAGTGCACCACATAGTGTATCTCAAAGTGCTACAAACAAAAGTAGAGGGAAAGAAAATATAACTGTGCTTCTTGCATGGTTATGTTTTGCTAAATGGGGAAAGAACAGACATCCAAATAACATATATTAAAGTGGTAGGGAAAGCATATTTAAATGTCAAATCATTCTGGCTCAAACATGTTTATAAATGTACTCTTTATTAGACATTGTCACAAATTTAGAACATCAAAAAATCCTGTCTTAAAATCTATGTTGTTTTTTTTTCATTATCTTCTGCAGGCCGGTTAGTTATACGTCAGCTTGAACACCTAAATTTGGCCAATCATATATCAACGGTCATCTGTCAATCAAATTTTTTTGGTCAGGCAATGCATCTTGATTCATATGTTGCAGCTAATATACGCAACGGTTGAAATAAGACATAAGAATAATTTCCTTTCCCATTGAGTTCCGTCCCAGTGTTCACGGGGATGGGCGTCTGCGTCTTCAGCAGGCGTAGAGCTAACAGAACTGGCAGCGTTGCGAGGCAAGGGCTCAAACATGTACGGCTGGAAGCCTTCTACACCAAACCAAGCTTCTGCTGCCCTGGCGTCCTCTTCCACAACATCTTAGTCCCTGCTTTCCTCCTCTAAATAAAAATGTATGATGGAGGAGACTCATCTATGCCCTGCGACCAATTTAGTGCTACTTGGTCCCAATGGAATTTCCCATTGGGAACCTACTAGCACTAAGTTGCTAACTGGTTAGCAAGATGCTTCTGAGACACTGTCCACAACCAAACTTGCTTGCTAAAGGACAGATTCTCTGTCCATCCTCTGTCATTGTTCCAACGGCAATGATCGCAGATATTTTGTGTGTCAGTTTGCATCCGACTTTCAGAAGTTCTAAACAAAGACACAAAAACTTCACCGGCATTTGGGTATCCGAAATCTCTTAGCGCGTGATAAATGTTTGCATTTGCACATTCTTTACTCATGAAGTTGCACAGTTTGGTCATTAGAACATTATCAGCTTATTTATGAAAGCAAACACGCAACAAAAGGTTTGCTCACGGTGCCTGCTAAATCTCAAACACGAATCACTTCTTTGGACATTTACTCTATGCGTGCAAACAGGTTTGCACCTGTTTTAGGACACACAACCTTTCTGAAGATCAGGCCCTGCGGTTGACTTCTATATCCCCTTCGTCTCCAGACCCTCCTTCCTTTCTTTAACTGCTTGAAGAAAACCAAATCACAGTTTCTTTAAGTCAAGAGTGATAAAAAAAAAGAGGTTTTCCTTATTGACTCTAACTCTATGCTTATAAAAGTCAACAGTTCTCCACATCCATTAACGGCTCCACAGTCTCATCCTCTCTTTAATTTTGGATGAAAATTATTCAAACCGTATAATAATTTCTTCCCGTTTCGCTACTTTAATCTACCTAACATCAGTCAACTCCAGTTTGCTCTTTGGTCATGTCCCGTCTGAACAACAACAACTCCCTGAACTCTATCCAAAAGCTGCACCCTGATCATCAGAGCTGTATTAATGAAGATGGACTTTGCAACTAGCATGTTTATTTGTATTTTTTTTTTACTTTACAGCAATAAAAATTACTATTGTTTCTGTTGCATCAGATTATTATTTATATTTTGAAAAGACACAATTCTTTTCCCCCCTCAAAATTGTTAGAAGAAAACAGAGTTGGGTTCTAGGTGATGACTAAGAACCACATGCATTAAACTAACCTGTGTATGAGGAAGCTGCATTTTTACTGCCTGGTTGATCTCTTCAAACTTCACCAGCAAACAGTGGTGAATCCAATTCCCCCCCCCAACCCCTTCCCCCCCGTGCACCAGCGAAGTGGAAGCTGAGCTGAGCAACTCAGAACAGTGAACAACAAAGTAGGGCAGAGGGCAACTGGACCAGTTTTTGTTGAAATGAAAGCCAAAAATAAAAACAATTTTTTATCAAAAAACTCAGCAGGGCAGTGATGCAGTCTCTAAAAACTGAACTTAGAAAAGAATTAAATTAAATGCAGATATTTAGTTTTGCTGTCTCTGCAAGGAAAGAGAAAAGTGTGCATTAGGGCTAAACCTAGTGATTATTGAAAAAAGCGATATATATTATATTGATTATTTTTTTCCATTAATCTAAGAAGAGATACTTTTGATCAATAATACATATATAAATAAACAAATATTAAAAATATAATTAAAAAAAATTAAAATTTTATGATTTCCAAATGGCCAAACCTACATTTAATTATATACTATGAACGATGAACTTAGAACTTTAATTGAAATTCATTTTGATTTTATGTTTATAGTTTATATTTTTACTTTTGTCTCAATTAAGGACTTAAGTACCGTAGGTTATTCTTTTAGCAAATGGCATCTTTCAGATCAGCAGTCTGCAACCTGCCGCTCCGGAGCCACAAGCCGCTCATTGGAACCTCTACAATGGCTCTTAATAGTGGCACACAAGATGTTATAAAGAAGCAACTAATGAAAATTCTTGTTGTTGTTACCTTGGAAATTCAATTGTTTTTTTTTATTCAAATCAAGTCATATCCTCTGAAGGAAAATCTGTGCTTATTCTCTATAAACCCTTTTAAGGTTTTCCTCAAACTCAATTAAAAATATAAATAAACTGTTGGTTGTTTAAAGTGGAAACAAATTTCTTATAGCAGATATTTAAAACAAATAATGTTTTTTGTTTTGTTTTATTAAAAGGACATAATCAGTCAACAAAGCTTCAATATTTGCAGTCCGAAACAATCAGCTGGACTCGTGCAAAATGACTTTAGGGATTATAAAGGTTGCAGACTCTAGGTAATGATTTGATTAGCATATTAGCTGAGGATTATTTCAATAATTGCTTAATCATGATTAATCTGAATAATCATTTCAGACAAAGCCTGTTTGGTTAAACCAAAACATTCATAGTTCTCTTTGTAAAGCAAAAAACTGCAGACACATCAGTGAACTATTCGTAAACCAAATTATCAAACTGCAGGAGAATCTTTATGTTAGCAACAAAGCAACATGTCCCCCGGCACGGCAGCTGAAATTGCATGAAAAAAAACCCCTCAAAACTGCTACAATAAACGTGATGCGATTATTTACCAACAGAGATAAGCCTGCAGTCCATGTGCCATCTATTTCATGAGCCGGGGAACAGCACAATGCCACGTGAGTGCAGTGCCTTGCTCCAGTCGCTTTTTTTAACACTCATCCGTCCTCTCTGTATACAAGCATCTCACTTTATCATCCCTTTATTATAATGTTTTGGTAAATAAAGTAATAATCAACCATCTTTAAGCTAAAAGGTCACTTTGGAGTCGTTAACTTAATGATAAACTGAAAAAACAAAAAAACAACAAAAAAAACACTGCCCCACATCTGCAAGGCTTAGTGTTCCTCTCAGTTAGCACCTTGTAATTAATGTAACTGATTAATTAGTAAATTAATTATCCCTGAACACTTTAAAAGAAATACCTTAAATGCAAATTTGGATAGAGTATCTATTCCCCTTAAAAAACATATATTACTGTAGATTAATCTAAGCACAGCGCAGCCACTTATCATTAAATGTGCATGGAGGCTTAGAAACAAACAGCTGCAGAGGAAAACACTTTGCACTCCAAAAGGTTTACTATTGTTCACCACTGAAAATCAAAGAGAAAAACATCAAAGGGAAATGTAATAAAATACAACCAGTGGCTTTATTGGGAAAGAGTAAAACATTTTTATGAGTGAAAAGGAAAAATTAGATCTGCAGAGGCTCAGTAAGTAAAACTCGATGAAGATAGAAGATATAGAACCTGTAGTAAAGTAAGAAAACGAAAAAGCATCCAGGATGTCAGTCACCTAGAGAAAAGAGAGAAACCTTACATGATTAAACAGTGTGGTCCCTAAAAGTCCAAAGCCCTGGAAATGAAAAAGCTGAGAGGATGAGGAGATTAAAAAGAAAGTGCAACATGAGAAAAATAAATCTAAACAAAGAGAACAAAGTCAAGACAGGACGCACATGTCAACATCTTGTTAAAAAGTATGAAAAAAGGTGTTATGTCTGCATTCCCTACCTGTTTGGCTGAGCTGTGAGGTGCTCCGGCTCTTGCGCGACATGCCAACCATGGCCTGCATTTTGGCACCAATGCTGGAGCGCCTCTTCTTGTCGTCAGTGCCTACCGTGCCCACCGCCGTGTCCGACTGACTGCCGTCCGTCTTCTCCAGGTTACACATGTCACCGCTGATGCTTGTGCTCTTGGTCATGTTCACCCCACCGGAAGTGCCCATCTGCCTGTTTTTCATTTTGGATGCAAAGTCACTGTCAGGCACCACCATTGAGGAGGGGGTGGCAGGTAGGGGGCGGGGGAGTGGAGGGACAGGCAAATACAAAGAGGGAAGGATAGGAGATGTGGAAGGAGAGGTGAGGCCAAGTGAGAGGAGGATACAGGAGGAGAGGATGGAAGGATGAAGGGAGCAGGAGAAAGGAGTGGGGTGAAAAGGAGAGAAGGACAGATTCAGGTATAGAGATTCATGACTTACAGTATAGTTGAGTAAAAGATTTAAGGAGACGTTTCATGGGATAAAAATCAACTATCATTTGATATTTCAGCTCTTATTGCTTCTACATCTGAATCTTTAAGCGTACGCTTTGCTTAATTGAGTTATAATCAGCAGGTTTATCTACAAAGGGACAATATATTTTTCAATATATTTTCTTAAAATGAAGAATAAAGGCATTAAAGCTGTTCTATTTCCTCTGTTCACTAATACTGGGCACATTGAGTGCCTTTCATGAGCTGATTTTTTTATTTTTTTCTCATTTGAACAAAAAAATTAGGTCAGTTCCTAAATTAAATCCTAATTTTAGCTCAGCCAGAAAATTATCTTTAGGAGACAAATTACATTCTGTATCATGTGCTCTTAATAGGATGAGGTCCATGTAACTCTCACGGGGTACCGTTCATTAATTAATTACTGACCTCCATCACATAACTGGATAATAAAGGCAGTTTATGGAGAGACATGCTGTTGAACATCTAAGAAGTGATTTTATCACATGTCTGTTTGAATTTTAATACATTAGTCATTAGGACTCAACCTAAAGATTTATATATAAAAAAAAGTTTACTTCAAGTACAAATGGTCGGATTCTTATAAATTTACTTTGGTCCAATTAAAATGTTTCTTTTTCATTACTCATCATTTTAAAAATGCAACTCAAAATATCTTTGGTAAGGTTATTTTGGAAGTGATGTTACCTCATGTAGTACTGCACTATGTTTTCATTATCAGTTTTTGTTTTTGTTGAAACTCCAAATGTGCAGTTATACAAATACATAGAGGTGATGTATCATAGAGACTTGTGGGATTTAAATGTTGTAGCAGAGGTTAAACATTTTAACTAGGTCGATTGGTTTCAGATGAAATTCTGACAGAAGTTTTAATACCGTGACAGGAAGACAACACTTCTGTATCGCCTGCAGAAGTATTAATATCTCTGGAACCACATATTCTAAAGAAGTGCACACATGTAAGAAATAATCATAAGAACTGTCTTACTTAAAACCCATGCAAGTAAACTACTCTCCATGCACATTTGTAATGTTTTATGTGTTTAGATTCAACACGAGTCCCCCAGTGTGTTACAATAAGTCCACTCTTTCTCTGCGCTCTCTTACTTTTTATGCCCATTTTGATTCTCTTCTGCTCCCATGTGGACCTGCTTCTGTCACTCCTGTCAACTTTTCTCACTTTGAGGCTGGAAACAACCTACGAAAGTAAAGTGCCTGCAACTGGCTACTTCTCAGGACAAAGTACAGTTTTCATTCTACAGTAGCAGCCATTTAAAAGGGCCCTTCCCAGTCAAACTACAGCCGAATGGCAGCCGACTCCCCAGCGACTCCCAGCAAAATCCCCTTCACCTTCCAGCCACTGGACTTTTCCCTCTGACTCCACCCTTTTATTGAATTACAGGGTCTGACCAGGAGATGACGCTTCCCTTTAGATCTTAATGTCCACAGATCATGACAGAAAAGTACAAAGATTGATGTTTAAAAAGGAATTGTAGGGGACCAGCCAAGGGCCCATCAAGGAAAATGGGGACATTTTAAATGGCTACTACTGTAGTTGTGGCTAGTAGTAGAAATCAACTGGCAATTTAAAAAATGCATAAAAGTAGCTGAAAATGGATTAAAAATGTCTGGCTGTTAAATGTCTGAGTTAAAAAAATAATCCAGAATTCAATCAAACCTATAAACAGTGAAGCTAACGTTAGCCTAGCTCATAAAAGGTTTCAAATTAAAAATACATCCTTTTAGAGCATATTACTGCTGTTAGAATACATTCATAATTGTGTTAAAATATGTTTTTAATAACTACGTCAATTAACCAATTTTGACTCTTTAAGGTAACAGCTATTACATTAAACATTATTAGCAATAACTAGGAAGTAAACAGTACTTTTTTAAGAGGCGGGATTTTCTGAAAAGAAGCGAATGACAGGCAGTTTAATTTCTCAGGTTTGTTCCATTATCAAAGTAACAAAAGATGATATAAGTCCACAGAAACAGGTTGACATGCGATTCGGGGAGAATTTACAGGAGAAAATAAAGCAAGAGAGCACAGAGAAGAAGCATGAGCACTGGGCCTCAATTTGTTAAATCTGCAAGCATAAAACATTCAAAAAAAGAGTCGTTTATTATGAGAGTATCCTTGTGGCAGAATTCTGACTTCATGCAATTATTTTGTTAATATCTTATGTTATAGAGAAACTCCAACTAGTACATTAAGTTACATGAGTAGAAGAGTTGTGTCTGCTTATTTTAATCTTCGCCAAGATTCACAGGTTAAACCGTATTTTTTTTTTTTTTTGCAATTAAAACTGCAAGCCTTTTTTTAGCAGTTAGGTACTGCAAGAATGTATTTGGATTCCTTGCAAAAAAAATAAACAAATGAAGGTGAAACTTAGTAAAACTTTATAAAAGGTGTCTGTCAATAGTTTTCACGTCCTGCCATAATTTCTCTAAAACATTCTGGACCCAAACAGAACCACTCAAATGTAATCTGACTCCCTTTCGTTTGTGAATCTCCAGCCCTGCTTCAGGGCCACTGGAAGTACTTTTGAACAGGGGGTGCGGTGAATTTATTTATTTATTTTTTTCTAAACAAAAGACCTTTGAGCCTACAGGCGTATAAAAATACAATAATGATTAAATAAGTAAATAGATTAAAATTCACCACTTTATTTTCTTATACACTTCAGTGCACGCAACCAGGGTCTGTAACACACAGACATCATCATTTCTCGGGTGAATAAATGAGCTATTGATTAAACTTCACAATAACATTATAACATAGATTTGGTCAGCTGGTATGAACCTGAGTCACTGTGTTTATGTCACATGTGACTCTATTAGCACAAAAATCCTTTTACGCAAAACGTTATTGAACAGTTCTCCGCATCCATTACACAAAGAACACAAGATCAAAATAACGCTCTATAATACTATGGTAACGTTAAACTGCACAAATAGATATGAAAGTGTGCAGCGGCACCATGCTGTTACTTTGGCTACAGGCAGGGTGCCATGCCTGGTTACAGGTGTCCAAATGTTCAGCTGCACTCTGGGGTCATGGAGATAAAGTCTCTCATAAGCGGACGAATAAGAAATGCATTTCTGTGCCATATTTCCTCCTTGTTTCTTTCATTAGACTATGTACATTTACTAGTCTGCTACCTCAAGCGGGACGCCACGCCCTAGCTTGCTTGATGTTGCCATGACAACGTAACTTCCATGAACTTGCGTTGATCAGGCCTTTAAAATAATTAAATTAAAATCCAAATACACACAGTGGTTAAAAAGTTAATAATTTCCCAAAGTATTTATAAGAACATTTTTAATTGTGCAAAGTTTTTTTTTTATATATGCTTTTTTAAATCTTCCTTTTGCCACCAGGAGATTTTGTAGCACCCCCAGAACCCCCACTTTCCACGGCCATGTGCCTCGAGGGCTTTGCAAAGGTTTTTAAAGGTTTTCTGCACAATATAAATGGGATATCTTTTGGATTTCAACATACTTTCTTTAGGAAACTGATCCTGCATCTCATTTCTGTCTGCTGCTATTCTCACTCTTCATGATGCTGTTTGTCCACCAGAGTTCTTTACAAACTTCTGAGGTTTATAGAAAGCAACAACATTGTTTAAGCCAAGATTGATTGCAACACTGGGCAACTATTGGTAAATGTCAAGCTATTAACAGTGCATGGCTGAGTGATGAGATTAGATAATGTGGAGGAAATTGATTGTGTCAAAGTATTTGAGTTCTGTTAACTCATTTGGGTTTACAGTATAACTTCAAAAGCACTGCTTTTTAATTTTAACTGACACTTAATATTCTAATTGTTTGCATTTTTACATAACTTAAAGATCAACTTAAATTATCAGAATCAAATTAACTTCTTTTTATATAATTTCCTAATGTATTAAATGTAAAATTTCAAATAGATATACATAAAATAGCACAGGTACACCTGGTACATTTCCATTCTGCAGATCTGAGGCTATTAGTCTTGACTTGAGGCTTAAATAAACAGACCTGCATGATCTAAGAGAACCTCATCCCTTTACCGTACCTCCAGCCTTTGAACAGGCTCTGGCCCTCTGTCCGCACTTACTTTAAACTGTACCAGCTAAGAAAAATGGGACTCTCCAGGGATGGATGTTGTTCAGCTTAGACCCAAAGAACACTGTGTGCCTCATCATGCAGATTGCTCATCGTGCATTTTCATCTAGGCCAAGATGTTCCCACAGTAAACGAAGCATGGAAATATTATTTCCTCACACAGGAGTTGACAGGTTTCAATATGCAATTCTGCTTTCAATAGATAAATCTGACTGCTATGAAAAGCGTTATTCTTCCTCCATTATTAATACATAAATAATTAAAAGTAAAGTTTAAATGTTTCACTTCATGCTGGTGCTTTTTTTGTTCTGTGAGCAACATGATTAGCTGGTGAGAAAGCATGTTTATGGTTGTCTGAACTTATTAAAGGTACACTACATGGTCATGTTCTTTGACATTTTTTACTGTGACTGCATACGACGATTTATGACAAATTACAGCTTCCTACTGGGCTATTATTTATCATTTTTGTCGCTTACGCTTTGATTTTGCTCAGTTTGTTAATAAATATAGCATTTCTTTGTATATTCACCATAATACCATCATCTGACTGTGATTACACAAATGCACATGTGTACAACTGCTAAACAAACCAAAGCCATGGAAGCAGGCAAGTGTGGAACTTCCAGCTTGGTTG